ATTTGCACTCTTATCTCCATCACTTGTGGGTCATTTCTGTACATTAAAAACCCTAACAGCTATTGCATAATTTTACTATTTATTAAAGGATCATTCTGTTCTGTAGTTTAAAAATATTAAGAAAACCAAGTCAGCTTATAATAAACATATCTAAATGTTGTACGCAGTGCTTATTTACGTTCTTAGCAGCTCTACAGATCAACAAAGACATTAAAATTCAGAAGAGTCCTTGAAATTTAAGGCAGGCCAATATCAATGTTTTGTTACAATAAGCTGTGAATGACTACACACAAACATGAAGTAGAAGCAAAGTATAGAACTATCTACTCGCCCAACAACCCTATTGCATTTACTTTTGTTACAAAAATATTTGCTAAGGCACCAGAAAGCAAAATGAGTTTATATGAACTCATGTACATTACTGGGGTTAGAATTTGAAGTTCTGTAGGCAGCAGAGATGCAAAAGAATGAAACCTAACCTTAAAAAACCCATAGGCAATTAGACCATTTACAAATACAAGTATCACTTTAGAAATTATTCAAAACATATTCCCATAAAGGAGAATGCTATTTTGAATATTTTTCTAGAAATCACACTGAAACTGTTACATTTACAAGTATTTAGATTTATTAGAACTCTATAATGAATTGTATTTTTCAGAATTTGGCCGATTTACAAGTCCCTAGGTTTTTCCCCTCCCCTGGATTTTTCCCTTTTGTTTTAAACATAAAATGCATAAGTGGAGTCAAATTTACTTGCACATCAAAAGAGACATCCCTCCCCTTGAGTCACATTTATCTTTAAAAAAAGGGGGAGGATTCTCAGTTGCACATAGTTAACAGAACACGCACACACTACACTACGGCTATAGCTTCCAAAACAATACAAGGCTGTGGTTTATTCCGATTATGTTTCATAAAAAGGATCCACTGTTTATATATACACATGTATATAATGTTACATTCCATCCCGGTAGAAATCCCGCCCCCTGTCGCTGCCCCAGAAGTCTCACTCTCCAAACTTGGAAAGCGATTTCTCTTGTCTGTGAAGTTCATTCTCTTTCAACAGCTTCAGGTTCTCGGCTCTCAATCTGTCCAGTTCCAGCTCCAGTTCTCTTACCCGAGAGTCCTCTGCCGAGTCCCCCCCGTACTTTTTGCTTTCCACCCTCAGCCTGTTGTTCTCATCTTCCATCCTGGAAAGGCATTTTTCCAGCTCCAAGTACTCCTTGATCAGCTCCTGCTTGCTCATGTTCTGCAGGCTCTCCACATGGTACCGCTCGTAAGTCTCTGAGAAGTCCCTCTGGAGAAACTCGCTGCCATCGCCGCCCATCCCGTCGCTGCCTCCGTCCTCCGCCGCCGCCTCCTCCAGGAAGTCCTCCTCGCTGGTGTCATCCGACTTGGCGGCCACCCGCTTGGGGCAGAGGCCCGTCTTCAGGTCCGGCTCCTCCTGGTCGTGATCCTCCATCAGGAACTGGGTGGTGTTGTAGGGCGCCACGGGCTGCCCCTTGGCGAACATCTCGGCCCGCAGGCGGGAGGCGCGCCTCCGTCCTCCGCCGCCGCCTCCTCCAGGAAGTCCTCCTCGCTGGTGTCATCCGACTTGGCGGCCACCCGCTTGGGGCAGAGGCCCGTCTTCAGGTCCGGCTCCTCCTGGTCGTGATCCTCCATCAGGAACTGGGTGGTGTTGTAGGGCGCCACGGGCTGCCCCTTGGCGAACATCTCGGCCCGCAGGCGGGAGGCGCGCTGGCTCTGCCGCTCGTCGAACTGCTTCTTCTCCTCCCAGCTCAGCTTGTAGTAGGGCTTCCAGTGCCGCTTCTTCTTGGACGGCCGCCGCCCGTGCCTCCT